CAGCTGCAGGAGGTTCCTCATCTGCAAGAGGTTCCTCAGCTGCAGGAAGCTCCTCAGCTGCAGGAGGTTCCTCATCTGCAAGAGGTTCCTCAGCTGCAGGAGGCTCCTAAGCTGCAGGAGGCTCCTCAGCTGGCATCTTATAAAGCTCAACCAGACACAAGATAAACTGCTAGCTGCAGCAGCTGTTTCTGCTGCTGTGGGTTAGACACAAAATAAAAAAACAACTAAAGCACATTTCATTCAGAGCTACAGGCTCTTTAAAGGCTTGGAAGGACTGCCTGTCGCCCGCCACCTTTATTGTCAGAGCTTTAGCTATAATGACAAAGTTGGTGCTGTTTTGGTCAAAACCCTGCGCAATATGTCACGCTCGGAGTACGTGTTGAAGATGACTCTCAGCTACAACCACATCAGATTTTAGCTCCGTGTCTGTGGATTTGACTTCTATCTTTTTCATGCTAATGTTGATCATTTGGGGCATCTGTCATGAATCAGACTGACTCCAGATGTAACCAATTTTTTTTTTAAATCATTAAAATTCATCCGGTGGTTTGTGGGATATTTTGCTAACAGACCAAGAGGGTCTTTAACAGTCAATGCTGAAGTTTTAAGCTGGAATGTGCTGTAAATGACTCCAAGCCATATTCACCAAATTTTAGCACAATATCTGTTAAACTGCAGCAAACAACAGGTTTTAGGTCAATATCTGTAAAAGTGACTTTTTGTATTTTAGGGTTTTCTGGCATCCTTGAATCAGGCTGACTCCAAAAGTAATCAGTTACTGTTGTACATCTAATAATTACAATCTGGTAGTTTCATTATGATTTGTCCAGTAGTTCATGAAGTTTTAGACGCACACACACACACTCACTCAGAGACACGCAGAAACTAGATCTTCCGCCAAATGTACACTTTTTGTCTTTGCCAATTTCTATAGTGCTGTGTCATTTCGGGTTTACATTTTTCTGACATCTTATAATTCCTCCATTTAAGCTTTTAAATGAACCGAAACAAAGAACCTTAAACACAAACATTACCTGGAACCTGTCAACAGAAAGCTCTCATAAGAGATTAGTAATGTTTTTATTGGCATTTTTTTATTGCGTTTTAAAACAAAATGAAATAACTTGACAAAATGTTGGTAGAAGAATTTGTACTGAAATGTCTGTACATACAAAATACTAATTTTAGATTTATAACATAATAAAGTTAGAGAGCTTGGTTTATTTGCATTGTAAAGTATTTTATTAATGTTACTCCCTTCTATTACCTTTATACAGCTTAAAGTTTTGTCTATTTAATTTCATTTTCTTTGTAATGAAAAACTTATTTTGTGTTAAATGATGCATCCTAGATGAGGATCATCTTCTCATCAAAGACACTCATTCAAATTAATTCGACTCAAGCTGCTTCTGCCGAGGTCTACTCACAGTTTGCTCTTCCTCTGCAGGTCCCCAGCTCAAATATCCGATGGATGTGAGGATTAAAGATGCAACACCGGTGACTCGATCCTCAGTCTGCAGAGCTGCTGTCACCCCTCAGGGCGTTTAAATGCAACAAACTGCTCGGCGTGGAAACAGAAGCCACCGGTTGTAAATATCCCATTGGCTATTCCCTCAACTTGTGTTGACCTCCCTCCACTTGTTTTCCCCCAATCAGACAAAATCAGTTGCTCAATCTTCCAAATCCATCTTGATTTGTGGCTATGCGTGTGAATAAATATTGCACGAGGCTACAAAGTCTCCTCATTTATGACACAAAGATTATGTCACCCAGAGGCAGTCTGGGTGACATAACCAGGTCACTTTGTGCCATTTTTGTTGCATTTAGATATTCAGGTAAAATCCTAACAAGTCACATCTCATCTTTTGGTATAAGACGGCAGAGATCATTTAGAGATTTTGAACATCTGAACCACTTTTAAAATAATTTTGAATTCCTCTGACTGGGAGTATGAGCTCACATGAACGATGGTAACCTCTCAGAGGACATCTTACCACTCCTACTGTACACTCATGGTGTGAGTGACCTGGAATGAACTGACACAGACGTTGTGAAACAGATAATTGAGGTCATTGCTGATCAATCTTAAGTGGGCATGGTGCCACCTGCTGTATAAACACAGACTAGGAGGCTTTAGGCAACTGTCACAGCAATAAATGAGGAAAAAAATATCCCTGAAATATTAAATATGAACATTTTACCATTTGTGATTTTGTCTCAGCGCTTTAACTAAACATTTTTATTAGGACTTTACATGAGAATTATGTTACTTTTAAGGTTTGACCAAAACAGCTGCAACTATTTTTCTGCACATAAGATGATTTTAGTTTAAAACTCTAGCATGAAAGGCAGCGGGCGATAAGCATTCCTTCAAGGAATTCTAGGTAATCAGATTTAGATTGTGTATTTCCACAGTAAAGATGACTTGAATTCAAATCTTGTTTTCTGTGAAAGTCAAATTTGATGCATTTTTTTGTTAATACATTTTCCAGATTGTAATAGTGAGAGGTAGTGAAGGAGATCAGGGTCATATTTATTCATTAAAATCTGTGCACCATGTCAATTTACTGCGCAATAATGGGTTAATTCATTTATTCACGATTTTATCATCACAACTTAGAACAGAAGTAGAATTTGTTAATTGAAGGGGACAAAATAAATGAATATTCATCCAAATGAAGATGAGACTAAATCTGGTTTTTGAAATTTTATTACAAAAAAAAATAGAATCCTCAACACAACATTAAAATAGATGAATAATGAAGAATAAGAATTTGAATAAAACTTGAAGAAGTAGTTGTTAAGTAACTACTTGGACTTGATGGTTTAATAATTAAGGTAAGGCAAGGATTAAATTTCATTTATCTACAAACAAAATAATTATTTGAACAAAATTCATTTTAATTTGCACAAGAATTTAGATAAACTTGAATTATTTGATAGTTTGCATTTGGGATTTGGATGAAGGACTTTTATTTCAGCTGGATTGGCAAGGCTTTTATGAAGTGCATCAGATTAAAATATTATCAGACCCAATACATTCATGTAATCACCAGGTTGGTCCCTTACCGGATCGAGCTGGAAAATGTGGCTGCTGTTGCTCTGTCTTTCCAGGAATTCAGAAGCTAATCAGGCCTTCAGCCCTCCACGCAGGAGACAGGTTACAGCTCAGGAGCCCCTCAGGGGATCTTGCCAGTTCCTCGTCCAAGGTGACTACAGTGAGAGTGGAGGATGTGGAGACGAAGACGGAACTGACAGACAACAAACAGTCCAAGGACACCCTGGGAGTTACCAGATGGTGACAAGACATTCGCTGAGATTATCTGGCGTCTTCACTTGATACAACTGATCTCAGTTGATCCCAAAGATTTTACAAACAGTTGTGCCGTCATTTGAAGTGAACTTCTTTCCCAAAAGCAAAGGAGAAAAATTTGTTCAAACCTATACGAACATTTCAGTATACTAATAATTGTAAACAATAATAAACAATATTCATGCCTCAGACATGTCATGATTAAATAAACAACTTTAATTTAGGCAAGGGACATTGAGTCCGAGTGGGCCATGTTATGCACCTCGACTGTTGAAGTGGCTGCCTTGAGTTGTGGCCCCAAATTGTCGGTGCTTCTCGCGGTGGCAATCCACAAATCTTGGTGGACACCCTGGATTAGAGAGGTTGTCAAACTGAAGAAGGAGTATTATCGGGCCCTGTTGGCTGGTGGGACTCTGGAGGCAGCTGAGGAGTACCGGAGAGCTAAGCGGTCCACAGCCTTGGCTGTTGCTAAGGCAAACGCTCGGATGTGGGAGGAGTTCAGTGAGACCTTGGATGAAGACTCTCGGTCGACTCCGAGGAGATTCTGGCAAACCATCAGCCGGCGGAGGAGGGGCAAGCAGCACTTTATTAACGGTGTTCAGTGAAGGTGGGGTGCTGTTGACCTCAACCAGTGATGTCGTTGGGAGGTGGAAGGAATACTTCTCAGACATTCTCAATCCCACTGGTATGTCTTCCATGGAGGAAGCTGAGTCGGGGGACTTCAGGGTTGGTCTGTCCATAAACGTGGCTGAGGTTGCTGAGGTAGTTAAAAAGATCAGTGGAGGCAGGGCTCAGGCTTTGGACAAGATCCACCCTGACTTCTTTAAGGCTCTGGATGTTGTGGGACTGTCTGTGTTGACGTCTTTGCATTATAGCGTAGATATCAGGAGTACTGGATTGGCAGACTGGGGTGGTGGTTCCCCTCTTCAAAAAGGGGGACTGGAGGGTGTGCTTCAATTAAAGGGGCATCACTCTCCTTAGCCTACCTGGTAAGGTCTATTCAGGGGTACTTGAGAAGCGAGTCAGATCGTTGGTTGAACCTCAGATTCAAGAGGAACAATGCAGGTTCCATCTTGGTCACTGAACCAGCTCTTTACCCTCACTAGGGTACTTGAGGGGTCATGGGAGTTTGCCCATACAGTCTACATGTGCTTTGTACATTTGGAGAAGGCTTTCCGACCATGTTCCACGAGGTACACTGTGGGGGTGCTCTGTGAGTATGAGATTGGGGGCTCTTTGGTCCCTAAACAAGCAGTGTGAGAGTTTGGTTTGCATTGCCGGTAGTAAGTTGGACCTCTTCAAGGTGGGAGTTGGACTCTGCCAGGGCTGCCCGTTGTTACTGATCCTGTTCATAACTTTTATGGACAGAATTTCTTGGTGCAGCCAGGAGGCGGAGGGTTTCCGGTTCGGTGGCCTCAGGATTCCATCGCTGCTCTTTGCAGATGATGTGGTCCTGTTGGCGTCATCGTGCCGTGATCTTCAGCTCTTACTGGAGCAGTTCACAGCTGAATGTGAAGCAGCTGGGATAAGAATCAGCACCTCCAAATCTGAGGCCATGGTCCTCTGTCGGAAAAGGGTGGATTGCTCTCTTCAAGTCGAGGGTGAGGTTCTGCCTCAAATGGAGGAGTTCAAGTATCTCAAGGTTTTGTTCATGAGTGAGGGAAGAATAGAGCGCAAGATTGACAGACAGATTAGTGCAGCGTCTGCAGTATTGTGGAGTCTGTGCCGGTCTGTTGTGGTGAAGAGAGCTGAGCTGTAAGGCAAAGCTCTTTGGTTACGTTCCTATCCTCACCTATGGTCACGAGCTCTGGGTAGTGACTGAAAGAATGACATCATGGATACAGGCGGTTGAAATTAGTTTCTTCCGCAGGGTAGCTGGACTCCCTTAGAGATGGGGTGAGAAGTTCAGTTATCTGGGAGAGACTCTGAGTAGAACCACTGCTCCCCCACATTGAGAGGAGCCAGATGAGGTAATGTGGACATCTGGTAAGGATGCTGCCTGGCTGCCACCCTAGGGAGGTGCTTCCGGCATGTCAGATTGAGAGGAGACCCCAAGGAAGACCCAGGACGTACTGGAGTATCTAGGTCTCTCGGTTGGCCTGGGAACAGCTGGATATGGGAACCAGTGACCCCCCATGACCCAAAAAAGAAGAAGCAGGTAAAGATAATGGATGATGGATTGATGAATTTAATGATTTTTCCCCAAAAAATTGAAATGTGTAAGCATTTATCAATCTGCAGCTGAATAGGTGTCAAAGGACAATGAATGTGCAGAAACAATCAGACAGTCAGATCAAGAGAACTTTAAAGAAAGCGGTTCAGAGTGGTTTTGAGATTACCTCAGGTTCAGAGGTTAGGAAAGGCCTTCTTCATGCTACACACACTCCTTGGACATGTTCAAGTTTAAGTTCAAGTAGGTTTTATTATCATTCTCATGTTATGTAATATCATAGGCAGGTATTTGTATCAAGTTGAGCTTGTTTGTTTTTATTTGTGTATCTGCACTTCCCAGGTGATTTGTTTAGGTAACCCTATGAACTATAACACCTCTTAAATTCTAATTTTATTACAGCTTATATTGCCAGTTGTAAAACTCCCATTTGTACAAAATGTATTTGCTACCTCTCAAAAAGAAGCACCACTTCACAGTGTGAAGTGTGTGGGAACATGTCCACAGGAACAGCCAGAGTGGGAGAAAAGGCATCTCCTGTGAGCTTCTTCAGTGGGTTAGGAGCACAACAAAGTTCCCTGAAGTTCCTCATAGCCTCTCCATCAGGTTTACAGGAAACGTAGACCAGCCTGCGGATGGCAGGTTGGTTTCGCAGCGCTCTGATCACTTTGTGGTGGAGGCCAGCTCGAGATGGGTTGACCACAGCCGTGAGGCCTCCACCGGCAGAACTCAGCTGAAACATCAGCCTAGGAAGCTCCACCTCTGCCTTACCGGGGAAGAACTCACAGTTCTGTACGTTGTTAAGAACCGCGTTGTGAACGGCATCTTTCACCGCCTGTTCGATGAGCTCAATGCCGAGAACTCTGTCCACTCTGGGAGATAAAATGATGCCGATGGCCCCTGTGCCACAGCACACGTCCAGAAGAGTGTCTCCACTTTGTGACTGTTGTTCTTCCTGCTTGATGTTTGGGAAGCAGAGGTCCCTCACTGTGCCGTACAGAACCTCAGCTGCTGTCTGGTTCACCTGGAAAAATGCATCAGCCGAGATGCGGAACTTGAATCCCAGCACCTGCGAGTCCCAAAAAACACAAGAAAAACCACCAAATCACTGCATAAATTCTGATTCTGTCAACTTCTGAAATTAAAGACTTTAAAAACAGAATATCAAACAAAGAAGTTCTTAAACTCCTGATTAGCAAATCCCTCTAAAAGGAACATGAGCCCATACTAAAGCTGAACCTCTACTTAAAAAAATGGTTTATTTATGTTTTTGTTCTTATTAATGACAACTAAATGTAGAACTTTGTTTTCAGCTTCTAAATTAGTGTTTAAAGTTTAAAAAAAGAGCCACAGCTTTAAAGTAATATAACAAGCATATGTTTGTCTGATATTTTACAGTCTAAAGTGTACATTTAAAGGTAATCATTGCAAAGTCATGAAAACTCATTTAAAAAGAATCATGAAGTAAGAAACAAAACTTACAAATATTTATTTTGCTCAAATCAATGGATGTGTCCTTGAATTAAAAATTTGCAATTAAAATTTGTAAACAGCTGCCAATCACCACATGTGTTTGTTTATTTACGGAAAGAGCTGAAGTGTAACGGCGACGTCTGCTGTAGAGCCGTGCGAGATGGAAAATTTGACAATTTTGATGCATTACTTTGTGTTTTTGCTTAGCATGTTCAGTACGCACAATTTTTATTAAAATCTGTCTAAATTAAAACAGACTTGAAAACCAAGGTAGATTTCCTCCATTTCTCTGGAAAATACAATAAGACAAATTTGTCACTCCAAGTCTTTAAGAATAAAATTTGCTGTCGCCTCATGATTTTATAGATTCACTTGTCTACTTCCAGTTAAACAACCTCTCCTCAATTCTACACTTGTAATGTAGATCGATCATGTGACTCAAACCTTCAGCAAGGTTTTCATTGGATTCAGCAGACTGCTTTGTTTACATTCAGTGTGTACCTGCATTTCAGAATTGCCTATCAGTGTATCTGGAACATTACTTGAGCAAACTCTTCCAACATGCATCATTTAATACAGTTCAGGATTAGGCCTGTCACGATAACAAATTTTGCTGGGCCATTAATTGGCTCATAAATTATTGTCATAAAATTGTTTGAAATTTGACAATAATTAGTAATTATTGTAAAATTTAAGAATAAATATTGGTTATTTTATTTTGAGCGTAGTACGTTTTTTTACCACTGGATGGCAGTATAATACTGTTTGAATCGAAGGATGGATAGTGAGTGAGCGAGCAGAGTGATACTTGAAGAAAAATGGGAGGGAGGCCCCTTGACGTGACATGGGCTGGCTCCATAGTTGCCAAGTCCAATTATTATAAGAGACTTTGGGCTTGTTTTTTTTCTAAAGTCGCTTGCAAATCTTGTGAGTCGCGGGTTGTGGTTTTTTTGGGCTTGTTTTGAACGTGAAGTTACTTATTTGGGCTTGACTTTCTTTCCGAGTGAAACTAGTTGACGAGTGGTAGTAGGTAGTCTGTCCCTTCCACGCCCTCGTTTCCTGTTTATCGCTCCCGCCCAAGTTGGCGAGGCGACAGGCGCACACACAAATACGTCTGTGGGGCACGCTCCCCAAACACTCATACTGTGGCTGACCACTAGGGGGCTCCATTCACATGAAGATGTCAAGATGTTTTGTTTTTAAAATATGTAGAAAAAAATTACATATGCAAAATGTATTTTTTATCAGAGCTTAAAAGTATGTTATTTAAAGTGTTAAGCATAATTTTGTTGTTGTTTATGTGTAATGCCATAGTAAATGTATGTTTATACTGTTTACAAACGGCCTCTGTTGTGCACAATGTGGTGGGTTGCCAGTTGAGCTTGTTTTCATAGAGCTGGTTGCTTGTTTCTATCGCGAGATCTGACAACATGGGCTGTCTCCTTTTGTTTTCGTTTCTCAAAATGGCGGCTGGTTTGAGCTCTTTAGCATAGCATTTTTCACACAACGCTTTTAATAAAAAAGCAGTAAACAAGTTATCAGCTTCTTTTTGCAGAGAAAAACAATTGTTTACACGAAGGCACGGGTTTCAACCGTGAATTTTGGAGCTTTGACAAAACGGAGGTTTTCTTCCCCAAGGTCGGCCTGTTAGCTTATCAGGTCTCTCTTGTAAATGAGTCCTCGAGGCTCAATGGGATTTACCTGTCTAAATAAAGGTTGATTGATAGCTTAGCTCGTAGCTTAGCTTTAAAGAGAAAAGAGAAAGGGAGGAGTCAGTGAAGAGCACTGGAGTTGAGCTTTTTGTCATCCAGTGTCTTCAGTAGAAAGAGAGAGAAACGATAAAGCTGATAAATGAAAATGAGGTTGATAATTTTCATTCATCGTGCGATTAATTGATTTATTGTTTATCTCAACAGGCCTATTCAGGATAACTTTGGTTACAATTTATTTTGTGGCTTGCCATGAGTACCTTTAAAGCAAACAGTGATGAAAACACTTCCTGGTGCAGCTGGATAAGAGATTACATGCGTATTACCTCCTCATATATGTAAGGCTGACCGTGCAGAAGCTGGTAGGGGGATGCTTCATGTGTGCAGCGAGTCATGGAACTTTCCTGGAAAAACAAGGAGTCCAGTTTGCAGACCGATCCGGGCCCCTGTGTGAAATAATCCACCAGCTCAGCCTTATGGACAGCCACCTCGTCAGGACTTAGTGTCTGTGGGTGAAAGTACACTATCACCATGGTGTGGCCCTGTGCATTGGTCCTCACTGTGACCTCTCTCCAGTGACCCCTATCGTGAAAAAGCAGGCAGGGGTCCAAAGGAGACCTACGCAGGAAGTCCTGATAGCACCTGGCCACCAGTTTGTGCTTCTCCGGGATGTTCAGCAGGTGGTCTCCGTTGATGCAGACAATGTTTCCCTCCTTGCCCGTTCCAACATAAAACCCAACTGTCTTTGGATTTCCATCCACTCCTTTGTTGACAGAAAATGTGGATTTATTGCGGTAGCCATTCCTAACCGGGGAAGGGAGAACAGGCAGGACAGGGAAGCGGAGTTTACCTGCAGGTGATGATGAAGGGAACTCCTCTGAAAGCTGCATCGAAAGATGAGACATGATCCTCTCCTGATGCTTTAGTTTGACTTTAAGCTGCTGCTCGTAGCTCAGCCTCCACAGAGGGGTGATTGCATCAGACAACCTTTCCTCCCAGGACACATTACCTTCATCCCAGGAAGGCTTCTTCTGACTTCTCCTCCACCTTGTTTGGGCTGTAGAGCTACACGCTGAAGTCAACACGCAGGATTTCTTCAAAGACAACAGGATATTCACTTTGGCAAATACGGCCAACCTGCAGCGTGTCGCCAGCAAACTCATTTTGACTGTAAAAGATCACATTGAAGAGCAACTAAGACGCTAAATCTAAATATTAATATGGAAAACTAATGCTCAACTTTCATAAAGAACATGCAGAACTTACTTCCTGGTTTTCTCCTTTTTGGTTTTACCGGCGATTAGTAACTAGAATACTGGTACACTAGCGCCACCTAGTGGACCGGAGGAGGAACAGCGGCTGGGGAAGAGTATTGCACCCAACTTGAAAAAAATGAGTTATTATAGCGATGCCAATTTACCCCGTCTGTATTATGAGCTCTTTCTTTCTGTATTATTTATTCTTGAGTATCCTATTTTGTTAAGATGCTACTTTTGCTTTAAAATTGACTTTTTTTTTACCAACCCAGTTTTACATTTTACACAGGTCTTATAGAAAACTATGTACATATACACTGCTTATTTATGTGCTACTGACTCAGAAATGATGACTTATGCCATCTCATAATTATGAAATGCTAAATCACAATTTTGAGAAAACACCTTTAATTCATGAGTTGTTTTTTTTTTTTTTAATCATAGTGGAAGAAATGGGCTTCCTTGAGTACGTCCCTGTTCTCTTGTAAAACCTTGCTTTTCCTTGTCTTGAGTTCTGCCTTGCTTCTTTGAACCTCCTTTGTTTTCGTACTACATTGCAGCAATGGTTGCACTAGAATATATTTATGATGCTCAACGGGCAGAAATCCAGAAGAAAGAAACAAACTGCTATGCAGTCAGAAGAAAACTGAAATATCTCATCTGTATATTGTGCTATTGCAAACTTAAAAATTGTCAGAAGCTAATATTGCACTCTGCTCGTCATTTCCTTTCACCTGCAAACAATATTGCTATAATTTCTGTCTAAACTAATAAATGGTTCGTTGTTCTACTTTCAACTTCTCCATATGGGTGATCTAAAATAAATGTAACGCGTTTCAGGAATATTGGGGAGCCCTAAGCAAATATAAAATGCCTAATGTTGAATAATACAGCTTTCTACTATTGCACATTCAAATTTTTGTTTCCATCTTTATTTAATTAAATTAAAACTATTAAATTTACTTCTAGTTTAATGAATATCCATGTTAAATTTCCAATTTTTAAAGGTTATTAAGAATATGGTGATCACTTATTAAATTTGTGTACATTGCTACTTTTGATTATATACTATAAATATAAATACTTAATAACTAAGCCTCCATTCACTTTATTCTGTTTTATTGTAAATGTTTGACTAAATAAAAAATTTTAAAGAAAGATGTTTACATACAAAATATCAAGAAAGCAGTGTTACAAGTCAGGGTCTGTAGAGGTCAAACCTCACTTCAGCTTTAACGTATGAATTGAACCAACAACTGATTCAAAAAACATTCAACACAAAAACAACTGGACTTTATTTGTAACAGAAGATGTTTCGCTCCCCATCCGATTTCTCAATTCAAAGAGCAGTGAGTGAGGGGTTCAGGTTATAAGGCTGAGTGAGATAAGACATACATGTAGTTTGATAATTCACACCTAAACACCTTAACAGTAGGAGTTTCTTAAAGTCTTTGTTACTCTGATTCACAGACGAAGCCCCTCTGTTCCCATCAGGTGTGAAAACTGGCTGGGAATCGGTCTTAAAGTTGCATTATGTTTTTGAAAGTTGAAATCTGAGGCCTCCTCTTCTGTTAAGAGATGTTTTTTCTCTCTTTACATAAATTGCTTCCTTCACCCCCCTCTCAAACCATCTGTGTTCTCGGTCCAAAATGTGCACATTTTGGTCCTCAAAAGAGTGTCCCTTATCTGTGAGGTGGAGGTGAACAGCTGAATCTTGTCCTGAAGAGCTGGATCTCCTGTGTTGAGCCATGCGTCTGTGAAGAGGCTGTTTAGTTCCTCCAATGTAGAGGTCTGGACAGTCCTCGCTGCACTGGACCGCATACACTACACCACTCTGTTTGTGTATGGATGTTTTGTCCTTAGGGTGGACCTCTATAAAAATATTGTCATTCCTTATGTTGCTGGAGTATCAGAGAAATTCAGAAGGATTTTCAACAAACACAACATCCCAGTACATTTCAAACCCAGCAGGACTCTCAGACAGAGACTGGTCCACCCTAAGGACAAAACATCCATACACAGACAGAGTGGTGTAGTGTATGCGGTCCAGTGCAGCGAGGACTGTCCAGACCTCTACATTGGAGAAACTAAACCGCCTCTTCACAGACGCATGGCTCAACACAGGAGAGCTAGCTCTTCAGGACAAGATTCAGCTGTTCACCTCCACCTCACAGATAAGGGACACTCTTGTGAGGACCAAAATGTGCACATTTTGGACGGAGAACACAGATGGTTTGAGAGGGGGGTGAAGGAAGCAATTTATGTAAAGAGAGAAAAAACATCTCTTAAAAGAGGAGGAGGCCTCAGATTTCAACTTTCAAAAACATATAATGCAACTTTAAGACTGATTCCCAGCTGGTTTTCACACCTGATGGGAACAGAGGGGCTTCATCTGTGAATTAGATGAACAAAGACCTACTGTTTAGGTGTTTAGGTGTGAACTGCCAATCTACATATGTGTGTGTGTTATCTCACTCAGCCTTATAACCTGTATCTCTCACTCTCTGCTCTTTGAATTGAGAAAGCTCCTCGTATGATGAGCGAAATGTCTTCTGTTACAAAGTCCAGTTGTTTTTGTATTGAAAGCTTTTTGAATTTATCATGTCCTGGATGACTGAGAATCTTCACAATCAACCAACAACTGAAAAAGTTCTTCAAAAAAATAAATTTTGTGTAACGATTAAAGAAACTGCTCACATAGCCACTTAGCGAAAACATCTGTTAAACTGCTTCACGTTGTCTTGATAGTGGAGTATAACAGGCACGTAGTTTGGAGCTGAACTGCTGAACCAAAAAATAAATACTTTATTATGACTTGCACTAGTTTATAATTCTAAGTCAAACATAGGAATATTTATTTTCACTGTATACGTTTTGTATTTGTGTCTTTGTATAGATGTGTTACAGTCTTTTTTGTTGAAAATGAGCGAGTTTAATCGTGTAAAAAGTTTCTGTAATTCTATTTACACATCACTCACTTGGGTTATGAAAACACCAACATCCCTGTGAACTTTGCCCCGCGTTGTTTAGTCCATATTTTAATCCTGGCAGCTTTCAAGAGAGCATTATAAAAGATTTTAACATTAAAATCCATGAACAAAAAGAGCCAGTGTTAACACGTCAGTGATAACAGAAGCACTTTTGTGATGAAATGAGGGAACAGAACGATAAAGTGAAATCTAAACCGTTTCATGTGGTCAGACAACAAAGTAAAGGTGGAATAAAGGAACATCTTCATAATTAGCTTCACTCAGCCTCAGCCTGTCACCGCGTTGCTGTTTTTTTGTCGGTCGTGTTCACACTCAGCAGCTCCGTAAAACAAATCTGACGCTCTTCCTTCTGGCAGATTTCTTCATGTTTCTGGTGTAAAACATCCACAGTTTGAATCCCCTTTGAAGCGGCTGCTGCGGCATCGTGTCATGAATCGGCATCGGTCGTTGGATTGTTGTTTGAGCCCATGGAGATGCTCTGTTTCTCACTAAGTGTTTTAACAATAGTAGCAGCAGGAGACTGAAGCACTTTCCGGGAAAGCCGCATTCTCCCGTCTGTTGGATCCCTCCCAAAGTACTTGACCTGTTAGCAGAGCACAAAAATTAAATATATATGTAAAAAAAAACAGGAGCAGCTCAAATTAGAGCATGAGGACACTTTAAACAGCAATAATGACATGCACATACCTGTATCTCCTGTCCCACCTCTAAACCCAAAGCACTTGGATGTCTGATCTAAATGAAGAAGATATTTCTTTTCAAAATCTCATCATGAAAAATACGAGGAAAAAACCACAGTGGCTAAGTTACTGACCCGTTTGTGGTCCAACTGGGAGTTATGAAGCAGAACAGGACTCATGTTGGGATAAAGTTTCACCATCACACCAAAATCCCTAAAGCAGACAAAAAAAACAAAAAAACGAGTGGCTACAAGAACCAACAACACTTGTATTTTTCATTTATTTATTTCCATTAAAAAAAAAAAAAAAAAGCATTTCATTTTCCGACCTTATTTCTGTGATGGAGGCGGTGTAGATGGACCCAAACTCCAGCTGCTGCTCTTGCTGCAAATCAAAAACACACAAAAAATGATCATGTGCGTACCAAATTGATGCACAAAACCGTGCAAAAGTCTTACATCATCCCTCGCTTCTTTATCTTTTGCCTCCGAGACATCAGACAGTTGAGACAACTAGAAAAGATTACCGTACTTTCCAGGATATACGTTGCTCCGGAGGAAAGGTCGCATCAGACAAAAAATGCATCACGAAGAGGAAAAAACATATATAAATTGCATTTATTATGCGTTGACGCTGACCCCTTATGATAGGTGTCGTGCCAAAAATTGATTGGCGGCCATAGGAGCACTCGCTGTTGCAGTTCTTCGGAATTTAACAAGATTAACACCTCAAAACAATTATTTGTTTGCACTGGTCGGAAGCTGTGCCAGGGGAGAGGGGGGCCCCGTCCCTCCCTCCGCTGACAGAGCAGGGAGGAAGGGCGCAGCGAGGTGCGGGCAGGGTGACACTGTAGAGCTCACGGCTAGAGCTGCGAGCCACCTTCGTCACTGTAGTATATAGTGCCGCTCACTAATACATGAATGGGTTGTGATCTGTGGTAGCGGAGTGATATGCAATGTGATGAGACTGGGAAAGGTGCTGATGTTATTAAGGTGCTCTGAAGACGATGGTTAATAAATACAGTTCATGATGAGTCCGTCAAGCTCCATCTTCTTGTAGTAAAAGGAGTAAGTCAACATGTATTACGGTCCCCGGACCCTTCCAGGCCGACACGGGGGGGGGGGGTCCCCAGAGAGGGGGTATCCTCCGCATTAGAGCGGCCGTCCCCTCTGCCAAGTTGAATCCTCCAGGCAGACTGCACGGACCCCACCCGTTTACAAACTTTCTTTCTTACCATCTTGGGCTACCATGAACTTTGTTGCCTTGAACCACTTTGGCTGTGGCCGCCTGCCTGGGAGGAGTCGATGGGGCCCCCAGAAACCATCTTAGCTCCAGAAAACTGGTTGGTCCACTTAAGAAGTTTACTGCTTGGTGGGGAAACAGTTTACTGGAACTCCTCAGACTGATGAATCCCTCTGGATGGAGGGCAAAATGTTTCTATTAAAAAGAAACTGTCCAGATGACCAGACTGAGAACTATTGGATTTGGTACCTGGATGACTGAGCATGAACTTTGTTGCCTTTAGATACATATTTTATTACCTGCAGTTTGTAATCTGCAGAATAACATTTTCTTTTCTTTTCTCAATTGTCTCTAAGTGAATGTTTTGGGGGGGGATTTTTTTTTGGGGGGGGGGGGGGGGTAGCAGTAGAGGAACAACATGTAGTTGTCAAAAGCCTAGAGGGCCCTCTGGTGGCTGCAAATGGTAATGTTTACTATAAGTCGCTTCGGACTATACGTCGCAGGACTGGCTAAACTTTGAAAAAACAGTGACTTGTAGCCCGGAAAATACGATACATAAAAAGCTCCTTGTAGCATAAAATTTAAAAAAACGACAGGGTGGATTCACACTTCTGCACATTACTGAATGTAGCGTTAAAGATGGGGGATGGATGGAGGCTGCAGCCATGTGCATCTCTCAAAACATTCATGTTACGTGCTACAAAGAGCTGATGTAGACTCACATCATCTTTGCAGATCTCTCCGATGAAGTCCTGAGCTTCATTCATCGCTCCGGGAGTCGGAGCAAACACAGAAAACGACTCCTCATCCACTTGACTAATCGTAACGCCTTAGGAGAGAAAAAACAAAGCGAAAACGTGTTGGAAGGTTTTAAACGCATCCTGAAGACAATTTCATTTTTAGAAGCTGACCTGTCTGAGCTTGAAGCCTTCGGAGGTTACATCCTCCAGGACCCACGAAGCGGGCTCTTCTAGACACAGGAACCCGCACATTTTCTGAGACAGGAAACATTTCGCGTTACAGCACAACATCTTCAGCGCGTCCCGAGTATGAACATTTGTGAAAGGTTCAAAAAACACAAAACCTACCAACAACAGGTCCGTTCCCTCTTCTGTTCTCACTGGGTTTGGCTATGCATTTGTTCATAATGCCCAAGATTTCCCTCTTTGCCACTGAAACATTTAAACAAAAAGTATTTTAAAATGCTCTTGGGTTCAGAGTTCAGCTTCGTTTGACTCTCTACCTGTGCCCTGTTGGATCGCCTCCATGACCACCTTGAGGGGTAAACCTGGAATCTTTACATCAGCCTGGAATTTAAATAAAGGGAAAAAAAATGTTTAAACAGCATTAAAATACATTACTGACTTACTGTTAGCAGTGAGTACCACCAAAATAAAACTGATATTTTAATAGATATTAACTATTTATGTTGATTCAGTGGCCACCAAACCCTCCAGGGTTCTGTTCTCAAGCTTTAAGCCCTAAATTTAAATTTCTACTAAAATCCTACATGGGAAACTGAATAAAAGAGTAAAACCTTGTTGGGTACAGTGCATTCTTTTAGTTATTCTGGTCTTTGTAGCTGCAGACGACCTGACAGAAGCTAGTACCTGTAAAGCAGTGATCCCCTTGCTTGTTCCTGCCAATTTGAAGTCCATGTCTCCAAGATAATCCTCTATTCCCTGTTCAGAAAACCATTAGTGGACATTCAACATCTTTAAGAAGATTTCAAATCCTAAACTAAACTTTTTAGGCTCATCTTTCTGACAGATTAAATAAAAAGAGACAAAAACATGAATGTACTGTGTTTACCAGAATATCTGTTAGTAATCTGTAGTCTTCGATCTCGGAGTTATTTTCTGAATTACCCTTCGAGATAAGACCAATGGCAACGCCTGCCACAGCTGAAGAGATGGGAACACCTGGAGACACAAGTATGGACACGGTTAGTGACACATCGCATCTTTGTGACTGATGTTGATTTTGTTCCAGCTGCTACATTAAATACAAAGCATCATTCTAAGTACCGTATTTTCCGGCATATAAGTCACAGTTTTTTGCATAGATTTGTCACAACCTAAACGACTAATATACTTTTTTTTCTTTTTCACATTCATAACACAATTTTTGACTGATACTTTAAATTTCAAAGTACTGCAACAGTGAGTCCTCCCGTATGTGCTCGCTTCACTCAGCTGATACAGGCGGAGGAACGCTGGAGAGCTAGCGACTCAATAAATGCGACTTATACACCGAAGCGACTTAAGCCCTATTATTAGTAGGAATGCACCGATCCACTTTTTTAAACTTCCGATCCGATCCCGATACCTAAGTCTTAGTATCGGCCGATACCGATCCAGTTCCGATACCATGATGATCATTGATTTTATACGAGGCTGTAATAATCTCCTCTCAAGTACAATTTGTACAAATATATGCATGCATGTCCAAAAAGGCAACTTGAGGTAAGTTTTATTAATTTTGGATAAGTTTTAAAGTTAGAATTAAATTCTGCTAACACAAAACATGTTCCTTTTTATTCCTAGCTTTAAAGTGGATATTAAAGTGATTAATTTTAAGTGAATGTTTAAAGATATTTTATATATTTTTTACAAACCGGATTCCAAAAAAGTTGGGACACTAAACAAATTGTGAATAAAAACTGAATGCAATGATGTGGAGATGGCAAATGTCAATATTTTATTCATAATATAACAAAGATGACAGATCAAAAGTTTAATCTGAGTAAATGTAACATTTTAAAGGAAAAATATGTTGATTCAAAATTTCACAGTGTCAACAAATCCCAAAAAAGTTGGGACAAGTAGCAATAAGTGGCTGGAAAAAGGAAATAAAGCATATAACAAACAGCTGGAAGACCAATTAACACTAATTAGGTCAATTGACAACATGACTGGGTATAAAAAGAGCTTCTCAGAGTGTCAGTGTCTCTCAGAAGCCAAGATGGTAAGAGGATCACCAATTCCACCATTGTTGCGCAGAAAGATAGTGCAGCAATACCAGAATGGTGTTACCCAGCGTAAAATAGCAAAGACTTTTAAGTTATCATTATCAACCGTGCATAACATCATCAAAAGATTCAGAGAATCTGGAACAATCGCTGTGCGTAAGGGTCAAGTCCGTAAAACTCTACTGGATGCTCGTGATCTCCGGGCCCTTAAACGTCACTGCACCTCAAACAGGAATGCCAATGTCAAGGAAATAACAGAATGGGCTCACGAATACTTCCAGAAAGCATTGTCAGTGAACACAATCCACTGTGCCATCCGCTGTTGCCAGCTGAAACTCTACAGTGCAAAGAGGAAGCCATTTCTAAGCAAGCTCCACAAGCTCAGACGTTTGCACTGGGCCAGGGGTCATTTAAAATGGAGTGTGGCAAAATGGAAGACTGTTCTGTGGTCAGATGAGTCACGATTTGAAGTTCTTTATGGAACACTGGGACGCCATGTCATCCGGACCAGAGAGGACAAGGATAGCCCAAGTTGTTATCAATGCTCCGTTCAGAAACCTGCATCACTGATGGTATGGGGTTGCATGAGCGCTTGTGGCATGGGCAGCTTGCATGTCTGGAAAGGCACCATTAATGCAGAGAACTATGCTCAGGTTCTAGAACAACATATGCTCCCATCTAGACATCATCTCTTTCAGGGAAGACCGTGCATTTTTCAACACGATAATGCCAGACCACATTCTGCAGCAATCACAACATCATGGCTACGTAGGAGAAGGATCCGGGTACTGAAATGGCCAGCCTGCAGTCCAGATCTTTCACCTATAGAGAACATTTGATGCATCATAAAGAGGAAGGTGCGACAAAGAAGGCCCAAAACGTTTGAACAGTTAGAGTCCTGTATTGGACATGAATGGGAGAGCATTCCTATTTCTAAACTTGAGAAACTGGTCTCCTCTGTCCCCAGACGTCTGTTGAGTGTTGTAAGAAGAAGGGGGGATGCCACACAGTGTAAAAATGGACTTGTCCCAACTTTTTTGGGATTTGTTGACGCCATGAAATTTGGAAACAACAGATTTTTCCCTTAAAATGATTCATTTTCTCAGTTTAAACTTTTGATCTGTGATTTGTGTTCTATTCTGAATAAAATATTAGATGTTGGCACCTCCACATCATTGCATTCAGTTTTTATTCACAATTTGTTTAGTGTCCCAACTTTTTTGGAATCCGGTTTGTAAATAAGGGGCAGATATAAGAATTTTTTTCTTCTTTCTGAACTCTTTTCATTCAATGTTTTCTTTTTGATGATTTTTTTAATTTATTTTGTTTCATTTAAATGAATGAATAAATGAATTAAATTAAATGGTAAATGGCTTCAAACATCTGCTAAGTTCATGGCATAAACCAACAGACATGTTCCCGTTTTTAGTATTTTACATCACTTTATAATGTAGCTGTTTTTGTTTTTAATATATATAATTTTCAAATCATATGTTTTTTTTTATGATTGTCTACTGTTGTACTGATAAATATCTCCTGGAGGGTAAACTATATCTTGACTGCAAGTATCAAGCTGAGAAATCCTTCGTTTTCTACAAGTGATAGTGGTTGGTCATTAATTATGATGAAGTTTAGCAACTTCTCTGTAAACATTTGAGCTCCGTGGCTTCAGCAATGTTTTCTTCTTGTTCAATCCGAAGCAGGCAGTCTGATTTGGGGCAGCCGCGCTCAGTCTGTCCCTCCTCGGAGACGGGCAGACTGAGCGGGGCAGATTGGACGCAGCTGACTGGGGTCGAGTCGTCTCTTTCCGGTTGAAAAAAGAGCAGCGCCCCGCTGAAGCCACGGAGCTTGAATGTCCAACGTAAAACTAACTTTAACGTGGTTTAATGTGGCGCTATGGCTCTGCAGACATTGCACGTTGCTGTCTTGTTTTGTGGCGTTTCTAGTGTAAAATACTTCCACACAGCGGACATGTTTAGATGAAAAGTTTGTTAGCTGTTAGCCACAGTGCTGCTAACTCAGTCCTCACATTGTAGCTGGCTGCAAACTATGAACTGGATTTCCTGAATGTGAGGCGGGTCTTATTACTCTGGGTTCATGAGACACGCTGCCGTTCAGGAAATCCATTCCATAGTTTGAAGCCAACATGCATCATGGATCGGAAATATCGGCAGGTGGATCGGAAAAATCCGATTTGTAAATTATGCTGGTATCGGAGGCCGATACTGGATCGAATCGGCCCCATCCCTAATTATTAGTTTATACATTATGATTAGTTTATATATATATTATAAAGATTATATGATTAGTTTCATCTAGGGACCACGTGTAATCAATAAATTACTCCCCAACGTGTCTGTCTGCTTTTTATGTGGCGCATTCACACGGGATAACCAAAGCCTGAGATTAGCTGAAATTTACAGACATCTTCCAGTTCTGATGTTAACATGCTGCGTTGTCACAACCGGGCCGGTCCATATTAATGTGCGGGCCGGGCCGGTCTCAAGCTTTGATGTGGTTTTATGAATCAGCACTAAAGAAAACTTAAGAATGTATAAAATTGTGTTAATCTACTAGATGAGGAGGAGGCAGGTCTGACTGGACGGTTTAAGAGGTAAAAAAAAAAAAAAAAAGCCACGTTAAGCTCAGATGGACAACCTGTCACCAGCCGGTTGAAATGGACTTGCGACCTGTCCAGGGTGTCCTCTGCCTCTCGCACAGTGATGGCTGGACATAGGCACCAGTGACTCTCACTACCCAAAAAGGAAGAAGTGGGTAAATGTAATGGATGGATGGATGGATGGATGGGTCAGCTGATCGCGTGCGCGTCTCTGCACCTGCTGTCATTTGTGGTGAAGGAAGTAGCAGCATCTACAAAAGCTGAAGCGAGCAGCGCATTCATTTAAAATAACCTTGTTCTAGATTTTTCCAAATGATTTTGCTTAAACAAAAACAAAATCGCCTCATTACATGTCGGATCCCGACCATTTCTGTCCAAATCACAGAGATGCCTATTCACATTGGATTAGTATTATCACAGGACCTCAGAGTTCAGCAAAATATAGTAGGTAATGTGAGGGGGAATTTTTACTTCACAAATTACTGACATGGCCGATTTGCACGGGATTAACAACACAGACAATCTCTGTAATTATTACAAATAGCATGTGGTCCCTAGAGAAAACTAATCCTGTGTGAATAGGGCTTTATACGTCAGAAAATACGGTAATTCCCACTCAGGTACCTGCATCCATGAGAGCAAGGCTGCCTCCACAAGCAGAAGCCATCGAGGAGGATCCTGAGACGGGGAACAGAAACAGTCTGATGGGTAAAGAGGACATTTACAGAATTGTACTCGCACAAATGGCTTCACCACACTGACCGTTGGACTCCAGCACCTCCGCTGTCACCCTGATGGTGAAGGGGTACTCTTTAGGAATGACTGGTCTCAGAGCCTTCTCAGCCAGAGCGCCTGCAAACACAAACACGCTCTGTTACCGCTGTGTGGCTCGCAGATGAAGAATACGAGAGGTGAACACAAACAAACAAACAAACAAACAAACAAACAAACCGTGGCCGAGCTCTCTCCTGTTCAGGCCTCCCATCCTTCCAGTCTCATTAGTTGCATACGGAGGAAACTGAAATCAAAAATATAATTACAAAAGGAAAAGCATCAATAATTGTATTTAGTCAAGTATTTTAAAAACAGGACAGCAGCGTGTCACTCACCTCATAATGAAGCATAAAGTTTTTGTCTTTAACTCCACTGCAGGACAAAACCAAAGACAAATCACTGCATTGACTCTTACAAAGTTTTATTACACATGTGAAAATGGGTAAAAGGAGCTATAACATTCAAGTACTGTGAGGGCAGCTTATAAACAAAGACGCTATAAAATTACAAAAACAGATTTTTATTGTTTTTCTATACCCCATTTGTAAATTTTGACTTCTTTACAGCCGTCAGGAATCAAAACGTGAAACAACAGCGAACATCTTCACTGATACGAGCCCTGGACCGGCTGCAGCATCCATCGAGTTTTAGAAGGTTAAAGATGTTAATGCTGGACTATAATCGGTCTTTCCTATTTATTTTGTCTTTATTTTCAGTCATGTCTCTGATATGTTCTGAGGTAATTTTATTAGTTAGAAAATGTTCAAATTTAATATTTTCAACTAGTTCAAAGTGCTTTCTTCTTTCACAAAGTGTACAACTTTTTAACAGCAATAAAGTCCATGCTCAATAATCCAGATATACAATCCAACAATTTTCAGTCGGGTCATCTGGATGGTTTCTTTTTTTGTGCTGAAACGTTTCACCTTCAATCCAGAAGGCTTCATCAGTCAAGGAAACACACAACACAAAACTGATGACTGACTGACTGATGAAGCCTTCTGGATGGAAGGTGAAACGTTTCAGCACCAAAAAAAAGAAAGAAACTGTCCATATGACCTGACTGAAAAATGTTGGATTTTATACCTGGATTATTGAGCATGGACTTTGTTGATTTTGAACCGGTTTGACATGACTGTCGACGAGGACGAGGGCCGGCACCGGAGGAGGGGGCGTGCCAAACACACCATCTTAGCAACAGCATAACTAGTTTGTTCCACTTTGGAGTAAGCTGTTGGGGGAAGAATCAGTTTTGTGTTGTGCATTTCCTTGACCGATGAAGCCTTCTGGATGGAAGGTGAAACGTTTCAGCACAAAAAAACAAACGGTTCAGATGACCTGACTGAAAATTGTTGAACTTTTTAAAAGATTTATTTTTACAACTATTGGTGTCATTTTTAATTTTTTATAT